AAAAAAAAAAAAAAAAAAAAAAAGAACATTTCAGGAAATCTAATTTTTTTAGCTTTATTTTACCTATATTTTACAGATGTCTAAAATCTACAAGTTTGTATGATGTATTAGTAACGACGTTTGGATCAGATAAACTGTTGGAATGGCGTCATAGATCTTCCACAATCAAATTTGCTCTGCTCAGTTGCAATACCAATTTGCATGCACTGATATCGTTCAACTAATATCCAAAATGCTTCGAAGAAGAACAAATTGAATTAAGAAAAAAAAAAATGTTTCTTGCTTACTAATTATAATAAAGTTTTAAACAGATTTTTTTTGCGATAAATACTAAAATTTGGCATTTTTTTATTTTAAATTTGGCAAATGTCATTGGTGATAAAACACACAAAATCTATTTACAAAATCTATTTTTCAGTAGTTATTTCATTGAACAAACATTGAACAAAATTTATAATTCTAGCAAAAAATTTGTTCATCTTCTAGGCTTCAACTAATCTATTGGGGTATCCTGATTGCTGGTTTAATATTTTAAACTTAAAAAATTTAACTTAGAACAAATCTTCAGCAAATCAAGTTTCTTAAATAAGCTATATTAGTTTGTTTTCAATAAGTTAATCTTTTTTGTATGTGGTTTAAGAGAGAGAGAGATGGAAAACAGAAAAAAGCAGAAAACTAAAAATTTAATTGTTTTAAAAGATGAAGAAGAAGTATGCTGATTTTTAAAGAATATCTGTCATTTATAAAAGTAGATGCCATATGCTTTTAAGTGGTAATTGAATTAGAAAACTAAAAATTTCTTTTTTTTCTTTTTTTTTTTTTTGATAAAATATATAGGCTTTTCAAATTTAATAGCATGCAAAAATATATTTATTATTTATATATCTCAAAATTTTTATCTGCTAAACTATCTTTCACCCAAATATTTGCTAAAATGACCAATTTATAAAGCTAAAGTATTACTTGACGTACATTAAGAATTTATATTTCCATCTATTTACACACAAAAGTGTTCAATTTCATCGTTATACTTACAATTGTTTCTTTGCAGTTCAGAATTTTTTTTTGCTAATATAATTTAATTTTAAAAATTGGTTTTTTTTTT